GTGGCACCATGTGAACAAGGTGTATGGTGCATGTTGTAGGATATTTTCTCCATGTTCATTTTAGCACATGTTCAGTTTCCAACATCAGTTTGTGTTCCTTTAGTCTCTAATCTTCACTCTCTTCTTGTCTTTTCTCTAAAAAAAACATTGTGATGGTTTGAAAATAGGACACTTGCACCTGTTTCTATTCACACCGTGGCTGTGCAGAACAGTCGGTTTGTGGGTGACAATACTTTAGAACAGGGGTGTCAAACTCAAATACACAGTGGGCCAAAATTCGAAATGGAACAAAGTCGCGAACAGTGATCACTGACTGTTTTAGGAGCTTTTTGAGATTAAACAGAAGAAAATACATAACATTGAACATGTTAACAACACAAAAGCCATATTAAACGCCGACTACTTTAGGCCCGGAAGTAGGATTCGTCACGTCATCACTTAACGACCGGATTTGCAGATCATAATAAGGAAAGCCAAAGGAATGCTGCACATTAGATAGAAATCACTTAGGTGAAAAAAAGGCATGAGGCATGTTGTGCAAAGCGCTTTGAGTGCTCAAGTAGAGTAAAAAAGTGTTATATGAGAAGTAAGGTAAAAGGCTGGTGGATGCTCGGATCACCCATAACCAGTGTTATACCAGGGGAGTAACAGAATACATGCACCGTCATGACGTATTTAGAATACAAAATATGAGTAACTGTATTCCGTTATAGTTACCGTTTAAAAAGGTGGTATGTAGAATACAGTTACTTTGTTGAAATAAAGGGATTACACGGCGGTCTTTTCCTGTTTCATATGTTCGACTATGCCCTCTCTATTTTTGGTAATTCCATACCGGTGGAAACCCAAACAAAACACGCATTAAGAGGCTCAAATCCCTGCAATCTCGCATCTCATAATGACGTGAAGAAATATTTTTTAAATTATTTAATATGAAGGCAATAGGCAGAGTGTTACAGGCATTGCTCAAAAGAATGTAGCCTCATGGGCCTCACTTAAGTAATCCAAAGTATTCAGAATACGTTACTCTCATTGAGTAACGTAACGGAATACGTTACAAAATACATTTTGAGGCATGTATTTTGTAATCTGTAGTGGAATACATTTGAAAAGTAACCTTCCCAACAATGCCCATAGGTTCCTTGGCATTAAAATACTCACAATACTAAGAAATATGTTTTGGTGCTGTAACACCAAACATATGTTCGAACACTTCATGAAGTCTCACATTCAGGATTCACCGCTGTGTACACAGGTAAAGTAATTTAAGTGTTTGAGGGCCGAGTGCTCAGGTTTGCTGGTCTGGGCCAAACACTTGCAGAAATAAACATGAAGACTTCGGCTGATGTTGTAAAGGGTCAAAGGTCATGGAGCTGTGGAAGTGAGGCTGATGTTCTTGCTCTCATCATGTTTGGCAGAGGAAATGTTTGCGCCTGTCCTCGAGTCACTCCAGCGAAAGGATGTTCTGCCTCCCCGATGAGCGTGTGAGCAGAATTTGAATGGAGTCTGGTTTTGTGTGTTGCTAAGAGGACTCTGCAGAGCTGCGAGGAATCTGCACTGCTCAGTTTGCAACTCACTTTTTTTTGGTCCAGTAAAAGGGCAACTGTTCTGATCATTTTAACCACCAGGACAGAAAAACAAAATAGATAATCTCTTTTAGCTTCCTGAACTCTGACTGAGACTTCCTGTGTGTTTTAATCTTTCTGGTTGAGTTGTTTTCTGTATCTTAAAGGCCCAACTTGACGTTTTATTAGTTTAACAGCAGTTAGTTTTAGACTGAACTGATTTCAAACTTTACAGATAACTGAAAATTCATTTTTGGATCATTTGCATTATAAAAACTAACAAAACTGAACATCACTTGATGTTATTCAAAAGCCAAACAGAAGAAAAAACACAGGTAGCCATAATCTGTCATCAATCCAAGAATCGACACCTTGTATAAAAAGCTTTAACTGAAGATAATCATTGAAATTAAGAGTCAGCTTGGTGATCCTGTGCACACAGAAGCATGGGATACTTAGTCTCAAGCGCACACAGTGATGCTTTAAAGACCTTCAGCAGGGTGTCAGACTTAATGCATGTCATTGTTTATGTGCTATTAATAGCAAAGTTCTTTCTGAAAGAACACTCCTCATTTTCTAATAGGTCCAGCACCACTCACTTACTCAGAAATTTCACCCACATATTAAAAGTCAACACATCACAGAGAGATCAGCACTTATATTTGTAAAGATTTGTCCTTTTAAATGGCTATAAAACTAAAAAACAACAACAACACTGAGTACAGATATTTAAAATGCATTTTGCAGTGCTGACCAATGTTACATGATTGCGAAAAGACATCTACACTAACGGCAAACCACCTCTGAACTACTTGGGGATATTAACCCTTGTGTGGTGTTCGTATTTTTGTTACTCAGCCAGTGTTCATGGGTCTGGTGGACCCGCTAGAGTTTTGGCTTTCCAAATTAACACTATCAAACAATTTTATGTTAAATTACTCAACAGATGTTTACTTCATCCCAATTACAAGACATATGAACAGCAAACATGGTTAATTTTTTCCCTTTACCTTTGTTAGATCACATTTATGAATTAATGTGCTTCTCGTTTTTCTTTTATATAAAATGTTATAAATAAATCAGTTATAATCAAGTGGAGTGAGTGGAAAGACACAACACATTTACACGTGAAAAAATAATTAATTGTTTAATTTTTCTTTTGAAAAAAACTGAACACGGGTCGGTCTCACAGACCCGAACACCATACAAGGGTTAAAGGAAGTACACAATCCTGTTTAGACACTTGTAGGCCCGCAGACAGACCTCTAACCCGCTTTCCAAACTAAAATTTGAACATCCTTGGACTTATGACACACTTTCAGGCACTTGGGATTTACACTCTGGCATCCTTTCCTCCTCCTGACCATTTTTCACTTATCTGTTTTGTCTGGTTCTGGAACATTTACTCAAAAGAAATAACCCAAAGTGAACTCATATAGAAGTTCTGCTTTTACCTCAACTTATATGCATATAAATGGTGGTTGATTAAAAGAGTTTGCAGACTGAAGTCCAGCAGATGTATTAGTTCAAAACCACAGAAGCAGCAGGCAGAGCTGCTGCTGTGGTTGCCAGGTTCTCACTGCTCTGGGAAATATTTACCAAAGGGATTTTGTTTGTAGAAAGTCCCTGTAACTCCACCCTGACACAGTTGTTTGCAGAGCAATGCCATGCAAACAGGAATGAAAGAGATAAATGAATTCTTAAATACTACGATTTATCTGTGGTAATTCTGAAGGATCTTCATAACCGGACTGGTAAATATTAGTTTTAAACTCGGGTCTAAAACAGGACGGTTTTATAACATGAACATTGTGCCATGAGTGACTGCATCATCACCCTAAGAACATCTCACTTTAACTGCTTCCTGTATTTAGCAGAAGGTGTGGACTAACCATACAGCAGCAAAACATCCTGTGTCAGGCTGCTGGCAAAACACACATGTGAGAGATAAAAGTGAAGTGAAACGCAAAGACAGCAAAGACACAGAAACAAAGTCCCGGTGGCAAAACAAACGTGGGCGTGGACATAAAATAAATGGACTCATCATTTTATTTAAAACGGCTCCGTTTATAAGCTGTAAAAAAAGAGGAGTAAAGAAATGCTCACACCCTTCAGGACCTGACGTGCTATCAATATTTCTTGTTTAGTCTCAAAGATTTGCATATTTACACTTGCTACTTTGAGCACACTATTGTTAACCTGGAATCACGGTACAACTCGCATGATAGTTCAACTCAGGAGAGCAAAATGTACCCGCCTCAGCCAGTTGCTGTCTTTTTACTGAAGCTTTTGCTGCTACTTTTTCAGAAAGTGTTTTTCTCTGGCTTTTGCTGTTTTATCCCACCCATTTTCAGGTCAGTCCTGGGATCCTTCAGTTGATTCATCTACTGTTCACTGAAGCCTCAGCAGAAATAGTTTCAGGGTGAGGGTTAAAGCCTGAAAGAAGACATCCTTATGGGAGGGAAACAGGGAGAAAAGGTTTTTGCCAAATTACACAAGAGCTGGAATGAAATCAGGACTCATGGAGTCCAGATTAAAAGTTTTTGATTTAAATCATCAGCAGTATTTCCTTGCACGGAGGTGGTCAGGAGGAGAGGTACAACAGTGAGTCTCTACAGCCATCTGTAAAACATGGTGGTGGCTCTATTGTGGTTTGGGCTGCATTTCAGCCAGTGGTGTTGGGATTCATGTCAAAAGCGATTGAATTGTAAATGCGGAAAATTATCACCGTGCAATATCGTCTGGAAAGCATCCGATTGACTACAGCTTCATTTTTCAGCACGATCCCAATAGACTGTGGGTGTCTAATATGACAAAATGATAAAGCAAGTCCTTTTTGTATCTGAAATGTCAAAGGTCATATCAGGACAGATGTGGATCTAAACAACAATGTAAACAGTTGCAGAGGTGGAAATTCTTATTTTTTGCTTTACTCTCATGAATAAATGTTTAAGGTAAATTAAGGGGGAACTGTTTAAAATCATGTTAAATGCAAAGCATAAATGGAGAAACTAAACGATTTTTTGACTCCTCTTGCATCTCAGTCAAATTCCCACCTCTGAGAACGTTTTCTCAGCTAACAGGATTTCTACTTTTTATTATTTGCTTTGCCTCCATCCTCGCCACCTCCTCTGCCTTCTTTACACCTCACGGTTGGATGTCGTGATTGCAGCCGGCTAATCCCTGATTAGCCTCACAGTGGGTTGTAGGTTCACTCTAGAATAATGGATGAGCAATTTTTTACAAAGCACTTAGTTACAGCAGCCAGTGTTGTAAATAAGATAACAGCAGGATTTTCACGATGATGTCCCGGCACCCTATGTCAAAGTCATGACCTTTGACATAGGAGCAGCTTCTGAATAGCTTCTACTTTACCCTGAAATAAAAAATCCAGAGATTTGTGACATGACTCTGAGAGTGTTTATAGATTCATACACACATGGTTGTAATAAAATGCAGAATCCTGCTCGGCTGCAAAGGCAAAAACCACGTGGATCGCAGTATCGTGCCAAGGCTCAGACAAAAGCTGCAGACTGTAGACAGAGAGAGCCACAGACATGTTTTTATTCTTAACATTACTCCCTCAATCTGCCAAGGCATCAGAGATTTAAACCAGCAATATATCATGTCAGCCATATCCAGTCCAACGCTAACTCATTTAAGATTTCATAGACATGCTGATGACGATGACGACAGAGCTACACAGAGACAGACACTCCAGTGTTTCCCTGTTGGATCTCTCTGGCTCGTCATTAATTTCACAGTAAGTCGGGGGTTCATTCTTGGTACTACTTTTTCTGTTCACAAGCTGTGATAACTCGCTCGAAATAACTGTCATAATTACCATTAAAGAGGCTGTGAATGTAAATAAAGCACAGAAACACGAATACAGGATCTGAATTTCGACCTTTAAATGTTTCTGCTTTAGTCTGGGGTGGAAAACACAAAGAGTTCAGTCTGGTGAAACACCGACTCGATGGCGACGCGCACTCAGATGGACTGGACGTTTTTCCGGCTCCACTCTGGGTCTCGTGGTGGGATGTAGTCCTTGGAAAGCTGCTTTGGTTCTGCCAGCATCTCAATGCGAGCGCTCGCTGTGGCTCTCCTCGCTGCTCTTGAAACCTTATTATTGAGATTCAAACATTAAATTCCATTAATCACAGCCACTTGGAAAAAAAGAATAAGTGAGCAATAAAAATTTAAACTCTAGTGGTAAAAGCTGGTAATTATGCTGCATTTTTATGACCTTCATCAAAACATAAAAGGCATCCTGCAAAACAACAAGTCCCAGAATTTCTCCATCGGCAGAACGACATTAAGTATTCATTTGCCTGATTATAATTATTGGAAAGTGTCACAGTTCATTAAAACAAGGTTTTTATGATGTAAAACAACTGGTTCACACAGCTGGAAAATATTTGAATTGACAGTGTGATGTTGAATACACAACCCTAACAAACAGTTTTAATTTATGCTTTGCTGAAAGACTTTTCTAGTGTTCCTTAAAAGCCGCACATTACTGGTCTTTGAGCCTCCTGATGGTATTTATTTGGCATCATAAACTTGGGGTTAGACTAATGTTGGTGTTATACTATCTGTAACAGAGTATGTGAGGGTTTGCTGGGGAAATTTCAGAGGTTGCAAAGGTGTAAAATAAGGCCACCAGCAACACCAGCTCTTTTAAGTGGCCTCCAAGAGGATGAAGAAATGATAAAATAAGAACACACTTCTTGTTCTTGGAGTCTGCATGCTAGACTAAAAGTAGTACAGTATTTAGTGACATGGGGTGATGCTGTGTTAGTGAGAGCACTTACAGTCCAGATGGATTCCTCTGGACGTCCAAGTGTGCAGCAGATGTTGCTCTCCTTCAGTCTGGGCAGCGACAGCTGGACGAGTCTCTGCGAGATGCGAGCTTTTCTGGATGAGGGAGAGACGATGGAAGCAACGCTCTGCAGACGAACAGAAGGTATTAGTTTCTACTTTCACAACACATCCCTGCAGAGACAGAGGAAGGCTGATTTGTTTATAAATCTGCTCGACCACTTCACATTTAGGTGCAAAAAATTTAAGAGCCCGAGGTTTAAAACATTTAGTTTAGATCAAAGTGGCTGCTAACGATTACGTGGAAGAAAAGTTCCTAATTACCCGAACCTCAAAAGATTTTATCTTTTAAGCTACAAATATGTGGCTTTTATTTCTTTTTTTCCTATTACAGCTAATTCAATGCAGTGTAAACCCCATTAAACAAATTCTTTCACCACCAAAAAAACAATTTTCAAGCTGAATCTATGCCAATAAAATATTGAAAGCATATTTCACAAAAGCGTGTGTGATTAAGCCTCCCTGTGATTACACAAGAAGCCATGAGGCACCAAACTGAAAAAGAGCATGGATGTTTGCACGGATTTGTTTCTGAAATGATCTGCTCTGCTCCTCTTACCTCCCTGCTCCTCTGGAAGTCCGGATGTGCGAGTTTGGGTTTGGAAAGCTGCAGCAGTCGAGGTGTGATCACGGCACTTTTCACCCTGGGATCGGTGTGCCACACAGGACAGTTTTTTTCACACTGAGGCGTGTGAGGAGGCCTGTGGGACAAGCAGACGGCATCTTATACCGTGAGAAATAAACCCCTGATAATGCAGGGCTTCGTAATTCTCACATTCTTCTTACATTAGGCCTCGCACAATGGTGTTCCTCAAATAATCCTCAAAATCTTTATCATTCTTGTCAGTACCAGCAGCTCTCTGCCACGCAGCTTCAAAAAATATGCAAATACATGTTAAAGATAAGCTGATAAGTATTCTAAACACTATGGTATGGTGAAACTTTCATTCCCATTGAAGGCACGGATAAGGCCAAAAGCTAGAAAACAAACAGACAAAGCTAAATGAGTAAACCTTACTGGGAAAGTGACTAAGATGTGCGTCATGTAAGTACAACAAAACTCTGTCACAGCCTAATAAAGGAAAAATGTAAAAAAAAAAAAAAAGAGAATATTTACAACATTTAAGCTTTTTTGGGTAGTTTATTGCCTGATCGTGTGTCCAGTTTGCTTGTTATTATTCAGTCTTCGTGTGCTTCCATTTATGTATAATTATTGCCTCAGTAGTTCAGCTTATCTTCACTACAGGATCAGATACAGAAATGCTCCCAAATCATTTTGGCTTACTCTGCGCTTTTTTTCTTCACAATCTCCTTTTTGGGTTTGATTTTATCTGCTTTGTTTTGTCTCACTCATTTATCCGTCTGTATCTCTTAGAGCAACAAGATGAGAGTCTGGCAATTGTTACTTCTTATACAGGACATTAAAACAGCAATCACTGTGATATTTGTAGCCTAAAAAAATGCAGACATCAACTTGTACTGATTTGAAACAAACAAACAAACAAAACAAACAAAACCTGGGATGCATCTCACTCCATCCAACTACATGTTCAGCTGCTGCCGCTGGGCTCGGGATTTATAAAAAGACTTCCGCGGCAGTCTACGAGGGTCCCAGAGGTGCTGAGCCTTGGACAATAAGCTCTATTGTCTCGTCTCCTCGCTCTTCCACAGTCTGTCACTGAAATAACAGATGTACGAACGCTGGCTTCCTCACACTGCACAGTGTTGGGCCTGATCCTCTGCTCGGCCTTCTCAGATTTAACTTTATGATTTGTTACATTCTGCTGGAATTAAACTTGAGACTTTGGTTTGCATGTGAGCTCCTGCAGGGAGAATAAAGGCTTTGGAGTTTGACATGTGATGGGGGGCCGTGGAAATATCGTTTAAAACAGACAGCTCAAAGAGTTTGTCTGGCTGCTGCTTATATGCTTCTCAACGCCGAAGCAGTAACGAGCAGTTTGACATAATGGCAAATGGGGGAAATATATAAATATACCATGTAAAATTTCAAATCCACCAAACCAAACTGAGTCACATAAGCTTTTACTTAATGAAAATGCATTTATTTATAAACTTCTTACTACACAATTGATTTAGTGTTTAGTCTTAAAAAGCTCAGAGTTGCCAAAGTATTGCAACAAAATAAAAGACTCGTGATTTTATTTGCATCAATGCAGGACTAATCTACGGTAAGTAAGCTCCATGTTAAGACACCTCACATCTGGAAAACTGGTAGACGGTAGGTCCTTAATTGTGTGATATATGATAAATTGTATTACTGATCATGTTAATCTCTAAAACAGCAGCATGGCTCATATAACAGGCAAAGAAAGATTCCCTCCGCAAAAAGAAAATCTTTCAGCTTGTCTGCTGCCCCTTTGAGGCCCTCTCCTTGAGCACCTCTGGACAGCTTCCAGTGGTGACCAAGGAAAGATATTTTAACAGTGCTGTGCACAGTTACGGCCATTTTTTGTTGAATGTCTTCTCTCAGACTCGTCAGGATGTTATAGCCCAAACGATTTGGGGAGAAAAGGTTTTTTAAAATGTTTCATTTGGATGAGTCTTGGTATTTAACCTGTGGTGGGGTTATTACCTTCGAGGTGGTCCTGAGGGTCGTCATGTGCAAAGATGTCTACCTCACTAGAGGTTAAATACCTGGGAGTTGCAATCGGACATCTAGCTCTCTGTTAATCTCTGAAAAGAAAAATTATGGTGTTTGTTTCCCAGACTAGGATTAAGCCTAGTCCTAGACTAAAAAGATTATCAGTGGTGATCTTTGTGGCATTTTTCCTTATAGTCTGGGACTTAAACCATGACTGGGAAAGTTGATCATGGTCGCTCATTGTGTTTGATACAGTGGTTGATGTTTGCCCTCTGTGCTAATTTGATGTTGCAGATGACGCAAAAACACCAGGGACCTTCAAACACCTTCAAACCGTTTGAAGCACTTGAGGGGAGATCAAGAATAGAATAGCCCTTTATTGCCATTCTACATGTAAAATGAAATTATGGGTGCTCCACGCCAACTGTGCAGGAGTAAAAAAAATTTTATGAATAGTAAAAACATCAGGAAAAAAATAGCAAACAGAAGAGATATATACAGTCTAGAGGAATACATATAAACTGGAGGAATATATACAAAACAATGGAAAGGCACACATTGGAGAGCAAAGTGCTTGGAGGTAGTGCAAAGAAAAGACTTGGAGTCTGTATGTGAGTGACATGAGTGATGAGAGTTACTCAGACCGTGGCTCAGATTGGTGAGGTGGGTGGGCAGTGGTGGTTTGTGAGGAGATAGTGTTTGTTAACAGTCTAAATGGCTCAGGGGAAGAAGGTGCTGTGAGTCTGGAGGTGTGGGACCTGACTGCCCTGAGGCACTGACCAGGGTCAGTGGTGGGTGGGGTGCGAGGCGTCACCTGTGATGGACCTGGTATTCCTGAAACAGGACGATCTGGCGATAGCCTCCAAGGAGACAACCGTGAAGGAGAAGGTTTTGTGTTTTCATTTTTTATGACCAGAAACAAAAAACGTTTCCATCCCATCTTGTGTTGCATAAAAACATTTAAACCAAGCACGGGTTTGATGCTTCTTATGCCTAGACGTCAGAGGAAATAGTATCCCTTGAGTGTCACTGATTGACCTGTAGGTTACATGTAACAGCTGTTTCAGACAGATCATTTGGAGATGGTTCACATTGAAATAGAGAAGTAGAAGTAGAAGATGCTTATTGTGCAGGGCTCTCCAGCTGCAAAGATAATATGTTTGCATGTAACATGAACACACATGGATTAAGTTTAGCATGCACTGAGGCTTTTACCCTGCATCCTGGGAGCTTCGAGTCCTGGTTCTGGGTGTCGACAAACGCAGGGTGTTTTCGTACTGGGACGTCTTGGAGGAAGGTCGCTGGGTCTTCCTGAAGAGGCTCGCCGTCGCCTCCTCCTCCTTCCTGCAGGAAAATGGAAGCCATTAGCATGCCCATTATGTGCTGTGTTGTGTGTCTGGAACAAAACATTGTCTTGAGCCAGAAAGAAGAAAGTAGGAGGAGGGGATGATGATGAAGGGGCAATTCAGAACAATGGTTAAGTGTCAGTGTTCAGCTGATGACGGGGGAATGAGTGGAAAATGCAGCCGGAAAAACATTTAAATTTCATTACGCAGCCGAGACTGCGGAGTGACACTCGAGGTTAAATGCTCGCTTCGCATTGTTTTGCTCCTCGACGGTGTGTCACCGATGCAGAATCCTTCCTGATTCAAATAACGAGGAAAAAATCTGATCAAACTTTTTATATCAATAAAAAAGACGAATGGCACATAGAAAGATTAACAAATTGGTTTTGGACTTTTCATGGCATTTGTTGACACTAGCAATAAAACCCCTGGCATCGTTGCCCACCTCTCAATTTTAAATACACGTAGACATTGAGGGCTAGCAGGAGGGACCATGCGCTTACCTGCTGCTCTCTGGCAGGTAGCTCCAAGCCCTCCTGGGTTTTAAATGCACCTTAGAACACACATGCATCAACACTACAATGAGCGGGTGGAGGGAGGTTTGGAGTCTTCTCTCACCCCCGTTCTCTGCGACCTGCTGGAGCAGGGGGGCTAGGACTAGGAGGAGGAGTTGGCCGTCCGACTGCGGTCTGGAGTGTGGAGCCTTCCTGCTGCTGCGGAGTCGGGGCGGTCTGCCTCCTCCCACCGCAGGGAAAAGGGAAACACCACCTGGGTCTGGGTGCAGGGGCGGGGGCACCTAGACCCGGTTTGTAGAGTACGCTTGGGGAGTGTGATCGTGTGTACAACGTCTGTCTCCACATTGGTTGAGTGTGGAGTAAGTGCATATGAGAGCATGAGGGTGGGAATGGATGTTTGTATCTGTGTGTGCCTGTATGTCTGTGTCTATATGTCAGGTTGGGTGTCAGGCGCCACCTCTCTGGGGACATCTCAGGCCCTCCAAGGTTTGGAGGCCTATCTCCCCCTACCACCACTTCCCCTGCCAGTGGTGGACTCCCTCAGACATCGGTGCGTTGGTGGTTCTTTGTGTCCAGGGATGGGCGTCCAGGTACACACCGGCTCACTCCTTGGCGGCCGCTTATCAGGGCCTGGAGCCTGGGGCTCGCTCGGGCCACTTCGGAGGTGGGGTGCCCCCGGCCTCTCGGCCTGGGGCTCGGTCACTCAGGCGCAGCTGGCTGCCGGCGGAGCTCACGGGCGCGTCACTGCAACTCCCCCTGGCTTCTGCTCCGCGGCTGCTGAGTGAGCCCTCATCTGGGACTCTCCTCAGCTCTTTCCGGGACAGTGGCGCAGCTGCCCCTCTGTTGGTCTTCCTTGGTCTCTTGTGTTCTGGGGGCCTCTGGATGTCTGGAGTTTTGATCTCCTCCACACCTGCTTCAAGCCCTGGAGGACGGGGCTGTGGCCCCCCCACACCCTCTAGCAGATTATTACATGAAGGAACCTTTTAAAAAAAACAAAAAACAAGCGCGTCCATGCTCACAGGTGTACACACGGGTGATCACACCCACAAACTACACCCTTTTTGGCTCCTACCTCAAAGCACACTGTGTTCTGTTGATCTTATGTGCTGCACAATAATGTTTAACATTTAGTATTTACTGTCATATTCCCATATATCATTGTGATGTTGTTTATTCTATTACTCTTGTTCTCTTCTGCTTGCTTTCTTTTTTCTTTCTCAGCAGGTGATCCAGGTGATTGATATATGCATTTTTTTTTTCTCTGCCCGTTCTGTTGGTTTTTGTCTTTTGCCCTTCTCCCCCGTCCCTCTTCTCAGCTGTTTCTCTTTCCCTCTTTCTTTCTCCCCTTCTTTCCCCCAGTCAAGTCTGTCCCATATTCAGTAAGTGAAAATAAAATAAACAATAAAAGGTGAATCAAATGGACCATTACGGCAAGGCTGGGATGGTCAGTTTGGTAAAGTAAATCCGTTGGGCATCTTTCTTTGCCTTTAGACAACAATTCTGATGGCAAAAGAGCCAAACGGGACAGGCCAAAAAAAAAAGAAAAAAAAAAAGAAAAAAAAAAAAAAGAACTAGCAATAAAAAATACAAAATCTTACTCTTTTGTTGTTAATGCTGTTATCTTGAACTAACGATCCACTCCTCTAATCTAAAAAAGCTGAGTAAAAAGTACAAAATTGCCACCACAAACAATTTATCCACACAACAGTTCAAATTTGAGCAATTTTCTCTTAAAAAGCAGAAATCAGAAAATATTTAATTGTTAAAGGTAACTATTGTAAATTCCTGAGCTTAAAATAGTTATAGTTGTCACTATAATGTGAAGAACCAACTGCTATGACTTCATGTCCATAGTGTCTATGTATTATGTATTATGCTGGAGAGACGTTTGCTGAAGTTGAAATGGGGCTGGACTGTATTTTTGTGCAATACCAATTTATACCACAAGATGGTGTATTTAAGTAATGTAGTCTTTTTTCAGAAAGGTATCTTAACTTAAATGGTGACCCGGAAAAGGCAAAAAACTGAGGGCGAGCAAAAAGAAGCTGCACATTTCAACACTGCCCCTTGTGGTGAAACCTTTAATTAAAGGGTAATTAAAGAACGTACCTTTGATTAATGATTTTACATGTTAACATATTAATTTTCTAATACATCTGAAAAGATTTTCAGTGATTACCTATCATCTTTTTAGGCTGTTTTTCTTTACAGATGCCAAAAAAGCTTCTCAAATATATGGATTTGTTGATTTTCTTTGTTTTATATTAACACTGACATCATCTGTCTGGATTTAGGGATCATCAAGTCAAATAGTGATTATAATAATAATAAATAATAATAATTAGCTGCACACCTAATTGGCCTGAAAAATTCAAAAGTTCCAGCTGCCAAGTAAAATAATTAACGTGACACTATTGATAAAGAAACCTTGACCACAGAGCCAAATAATCAGATTAGAAATGAACAAAGCGGACTAGACATCTTGCCTGCACTCTCATTAAATTAGGCATTGAGGCTAATTATCAGATACAATAGCCCTGTAAATACATTTAACTGATGTAGCTTACAGCAAATCAGAGGCAGGGAAAAAAGGATCAGTATGTATGCAGTGAGCATCGGGAATCAAGCTCCTCTATAGCTGATGGTCTGCACCAAACCAGCAGGTGATCAGTGTCATCTTCCGTTACAGTGAATTATTACTGCAGTTCAGTGAGCTGCACTTCCTGCGCGTGGGTTTCTGATTGAGTTACACTGAACATCGTTGCTCCTCTCATCCGACAGCTGATGCAGGAGAAACAACAAACAGAAGAGCTGTGGACCTGTAGCTAGCACTAATCGAGCCTGACAGCTCAGGGTGATCACCTGGCATCAGTCCCGAACATCACTTTACTCTGTGCTAAAGAGCTCTGCGAAGATTTCCACACAAATATGTTGATGCATCACAACATAAAAAGCTTGTGTACACTGCTCTGATCACAAACAGCCCTCCCTCTCATGTCTTTTTGATAGAGTCATCAATAATGTTGGAGGAACAGCCGGGCTACAGTTACCTCCGGTGGTCCTCCCTTGCTGAGAAATCTCTTTTGTGCCTGGATAGGTATTGGATTCTTGCACTTGGAGCGGCTCCGAGCGCTGAAGCGGAGATGGGCCATACAGGCCCCTGGTTGCCCCAGCTCAGCTTCTCACTGATCAATGGAAAGGTTTCCAAAAAGGAGCTGTGATGATAAGCATCTTTGTGCAGAGGCAGAATAAATATTTTCCCAAAGAAAAAAAAAAAAGATCCATTCAATCAACAAACCATAAATTCTTCTCATTTCTCTATTGTTTTTCTCTTTTAAACACACATTCGGTGGGTGCCAGACATCTGTCTTTAATTATGCACTTTGGAGAAATTGCACTCAAAAGAAGGAAACACTGACCACATAGGCTCCTGAATTCTTGGGAGTCAGTTTTAAGTCAATTTTCAAATGATGTAACAGCTGGAAGAGAACTAAGTATGCTCAAAATGTTTAGGGCTTTAAAAACAGACGTGTGATGAATAGTGGCCATTGTGGCGTTACAAAAAGTCTGTGTGCAGAAAGAATTCGGTTTTAATCAAGGGGAAGATGCTCGTGTGAGTCAGCTACTCACCAAGGAGTCGTGGCCCAGACTGTTTTTGAGGTTTTGTGTTGAGCCAACTCCAAGATTCTGTCAAACGACACAGCATTCACAAAACAGCAAAAACTAACAATAAATACGAGTGTATTTCAGGGACTGTGGGCCCAAAGCGGGGCTGTGCAATCGCTCAGCGAGTTTCCCTTCTCTGTTTAGGGTTTTCCATATTTTGGCTCCCAAACAGTCTCGCTCATTTTTTTAAAATCTCTGTTTCAACTTTAAATCTTTACCACCAATCAAAAAGCAAAGACGCGAATGCCAGAGTTTGACTGTGAGTCATTCATTTTCATGACAGTGGTTTCCTATTTTGCACCACCACCTCCATTTAACCCCTTTAATATCTGCAATGTTCCAAAAATACTCCCTACTAGAGGTTACTGATTATATAAAACATGGATTTTTACAACATAGCTTTGAATTTTCAGGTGTTGTTTTTAAGCTTGCATCAGTATTAGCATCAAAAGCTTAATCTAAAACTGTAGGCAAACTATTTCCCCCATTTATTCATTATGTTGGTTTCAGCTGGTTACACTTTTAGCTCCTTTAAATGGTTTAATCCTGACTTTTAGCTTAATGTTTCTATTCTTTCTTAATGACTTTATGTTAATTAGATGGTTTTATCATGATTTTACCTAACCTGTTAAGAGTTTTGGTGTTTTAACTGTTTATTGCTGACATTTAAGTTTCAAATTTCTTTGCCAGACTTGAAGCTAAATTTTGCTTCCAGACTTTTTATTACTTTTAACTTCATTCCTGCCTTAAGCCTTTTTATTCTCAACACTGAGTTTTTTTAAAACTGTTAGCTACTATTGAGGTTTTGTACTCACATGAGCACTCGCCATGTTTAGAATAAGGCCCCAACTACACAGGCCTTGACTGGTCCACGAGTAACATTTTAGCAGTCGCCCACAGTTTGTATGGAACACACCAACTTTACCTGCAACTACTCTCAGAGTGTTAGTGATACACCCCAGAAACTGGAAACAGAGACCTTTCTACTTCATAAAAAACTTTAACTTTTATTTTGCAGTAAAGTTGCGCCACTGCTCAGTTTGCAGACAAGTTTGTATCTTCTATGAAAATTATAGGCAACTGCAGCAATCTGCAAGCAACCAATGCAATTACAAAGAGATTTTTTTTTTTGGAAAAGTATCGTCTCTGCAACCGATTTCCCTTCGCCAACCTATCGGGGGATATTTTTTCCCCCTCACAACCTACATTTTGTTACACCCGATATGGTGGAAAACTCTTGAGCAAGAAAATGCTGTTTCAGCTGTTTATTCCTGAGTTTATAGTTAAATGGCCTGTATTTGTATAGCGCTTTTACTAGTCCCCCCTAGGGACTCCAAAGCGCTTTACACACCCAGTCATCCACCCATTCACACACTGGTGGAGGCAAGCTACAGTTGTAGCCACAGCTGCCCTGGGGCAGACTGTTGGTAGGAATGTTGCAACGCACAATATCTCCTTATAGTGGTCAATATTTTACACAAACACACCAAATCTATTGAGAATGATTAACTTTCTGAGAAAGGCATAAAGATCAAAACCATTTCACCTCTGTGATGGACCAAATGTGGACTGAACAGCTGCAAGAATAAAAAACAAAAGCAAAAAATGAGTTAAGGCTACCCCCCAATATTTGATGACTATTTTGCATGTATAAAGTGATAAATTTACCTTGTTTTCCAGACACCATCTCCCCTTGCGGCTGCTGTGAGCTGGATGCGTCAGCTTGATGTCACATTACTCTCTCCATAGCCACAGCAGGAGTCCTTAGCAACCAGCTCCACACCTGAGGACGCCCTGAAACTGGAGTCTGTGTGGTTAACTCAACCATCCGGCCCACTCAAGACTTCAGAAGCTGAACGTTATAAGGAAAGTGGACACTTCTAGGTCAGTTGGGAGGCCTACTGTTGCTGTGGCATTCTGGAGAGCTCGATTCAAAATATAAATGTGCTCCAATGGTGTGAAGTGACTAAATGTCAAGCGCTATGTTTGTGATGAGGCTTTGTGCTCACATGAGCAACGACACAGAGCTGTGCTGTTGTAAACAAAACTATGTGAAAGGTCAGTGGTTCAAAACACTAAAGATTTAATGCAAAAGAATAATTCAGTGGAAACTGTTTATTTAAATGTGAAATAATGGCCAATAAGACATCATCAAACTGTTTACACATTACTGTAAAATGCATGTTTTGGTTTTGGAAAAATAGGAGTCACAAAAAACAAAAAGTAATGCGCCCTTTTAAATCACCAAAGTGTTACATATGAAGGTGTTTCGTTTTATTCAGTTCTTAAGATAAAAAACCAAACTCCTTTTTAAAGCATTAAGACGACACACAATGAATAAGATAACAATGAACGCGTTACATACGTGTGTTTTTAAAGCTGTAACACTCCTGAGCGATAATAAACTCAAAATAAAGCAGCAGTATTGCAGCAAAGAGCCATGTCTTTTAGTTTTTTTCCGTTATGCTTAAATGTTTCAAGATTTTGATATTAACGGCAGAACAGAGTCAAAGTTTGCACTTTAGCGGCCCCACATGGCAAAATGGTGTCACTTTCAGACATTTTAACAGTTGAACCTTTCATGAATTTTTTGTTGTTGTAATTTTGCCTTTTCCCATACACCACCACAGAGGATTTTAAATCAAACAGTCCAGATGTGTTTGAAGAACAGACTTTTATCTTAAATTTAAGGGCTTCAACAAAAAATGTCAACTGTTTAGGAATTACAGCCTTTTAATACACAGTCCAGTCTCAAAAGTAATTGGACAGTTGATGAACAATTCCCTGCTCGTTTTTCAATAGAAAGCAGATAAATGATTTGAAGTTGCTTCCAAGTGTTAAACTTGCATCTGATAGCCGTTCACTGGATTTCTCAATATGAGGTCCAAAGAAGTGTCAATTAAAGCGGAGAAGGTCTTCATTGATCTGAAAACCAAACTACACCTATCAGAGAGACAGCAAACACTTGAGGAGAGGCCAAATCAATAATGCGGTATCGGCCAGCTCAGCAAAACCTAAAGGCCTGGAAGACCGGGGAGGAAAAATCAGTGAGAATGATCCCAGAGTTCTTTCCATGGTTACGAAACAGCATTACTATCTAACCAGTCAAGACTGCTCTCAGGGAGGTGGGCAAATCACTGTTAGTGTACAATCCAGGAAAGCCCGATCATACTTTGTCAAAAATCATATAAATATATATACGTTTGAACAGATTAAACCAAGACTAACTAACAGAATAATGGGTAGAGAAATGTATGGAGAAGGAGGGGTGTGTATAAAAATGGCTGTAATTCCTCAACAGTTTATGCAGCACTTCTATTAAAACCCACGAATTAATACTGAAAGTCTGGACTTGATGTTCACTGTGGTGGTGTACAGTCCAAAAGCACAAAATTTTATGTTTTAATTTGAGATCTCAGTCAGTAAAAGTTAGTTTGGGCCACTTGTCTCAGCTGATATGACGAATTTAAGCAGCTTGAGATTTGTATGCAAGTATGAAATACGCTGACACATTTAAATCATTAAGATCGATTTGAAAACTACTGCAACTGCAGCTCCAAACAACATTAGAAGGAATTAAAAATTTAAAACACAGTAACAGTCTTGTAAATGTTAACATTTGTGGCTCCACACATCACCTGCTGGGACAAAAATAGAGATAATGGTTTTGTGTTCTCCCAGTTTGACACAAATCAATAAAAAAAATTTAACAGGCCAACAAACAGTGAGGGTTTTTTTTCCTCCTCACAAACGTGAAATACCAACAGAAATAAATACCAGAGGTTTAGCCTACAAACGTAGTGAAAACAGTAAAGTTAAAAAAAAAGTGCAAAGAGCTCACTGAATGTGATTAAGTGACAGGAGTTAACAGTGCGTTTCATAAACCGTCACAAACCAACTGGGAGATCAGGGCCTGAGCGTCCTGCACGCCAGAGCTCAGCTCCGTCTCGCCCTCCTTCACGTGGGTAGCGATGAGGAACAAGCGCCGGTCGCCGAGCTCGGACAGAGACAGAGCGTCGTGGAGGTCAGTGATGCCGCAGGAACCTGGAAGGTCCTGGAGAAAGAAAAAAACATTGAGCATTAAGTAAGATAAGGATGATATACTCCTATATTATATAAAAAAAATATAAAGATGAACTTATTTGAAGGGCGTAATGTCTGAGAAATCTTTGCTGACATTTTATCCACCACCAAATTACTGCAGAATAAAATTTGCAGGGTTTGTTGCTTCAGTGATTTTAACCCAAAATATGAAAATGAGAAAAGGATGGAAGCCATCTTTCAGATTTTATTTTGTGACATCTAAATCGACATACGTGCTTTTCAGATGGACAGAAAATGCAAACAGATACAAATCAAAAGGAAATGCAAGTGATAGACTGCCACATCATTCAGTTTTAAAACACCTGTCTGTGAAGGTTCTCAGTCATCCAGGTCATCGTAGTGAAAGGAGCTTGCAAAGAAAAGCGTCTGGACTTCTTTAAGTTGCTTGAAGACGTTTCACCTCTCATCCGAGAAGCTTCTTCAGAGAAGGATCAAAGAAGAAGCTTCTCGGATGAGAGGTGAAATGTCTTCAAGCAACTTAAAGAAGCCCAGACGCTTTTCTTTGCAAGCGTCTGGGCAAGTTGCTCTCATGGCTAATCGGTGCATGGAGTCTGTTGACATCACATTTTCAGATCAACTTAGCTCGCTTTGAACCCTGGCCAAGGTGTTCTATCCTTTAGATCGCTATCCACAGCTCGTGCAGAGGGAAGGAGCACACATCTACCAGTAACATCACTGGTGCATGTTAAAATGTTTATGTGGCACAGACATGCCTTTTATTAAAAAGCTGAACATGTCGTACAGAGGAGCTTAGTGAGAGTGATCACAAGACTGTGATGAGGTGTGTTCATCGAAGCCTAATGCAGCCTTCTCCAAACTTCAGGCAGCTGCAGCTTAGCTTGATATCTGAAAATCTCTATTTTGTTGTTTCCTGCTGTTGACATGTTACAAGATAGGAGTTCAGGATAGAAAATAAATAAATAAATGCAATTCTTCACATTAAAAGCCAGTTCTATTTTGTGTTTACTTTAGTTGCATCAGTTGCAAGTCTGAAACAAATCAATTGAACTTGTTTCTTTCACGCCCACCTGTTTGTTGGCCAGCACCATTAAAGGCAGGCTTGGACGAGAGGCCAGCAGCTCGTGTAGGTGTTTCTTTGCCACTGGAAAGAGCTGCGGGTTGGACGAGTCGACTACAAATACCAGCAGCAGTGCTTTAGGGATATATTTCTGCCAATATGGCCGCAGATCCTCTTTACCTCCAACTGTCAAAAGAGAGAGACAACACACACTGTTCAAATACAACTCCCGTGTTTATTTCTGTTACATTTTATGCATTATACAGCAACACATATGTGATTTTCAACTGGATCATATGAGACAGAGCATACTAAAGATGGGCTCAGGCTTACTTTCCAGAAACTCGATATAGCAGTCATCTTTGTTGATGGAGACGGCGTTGAAGCCCTGTGTCGGCTGTATGTCCTGCTCCAGGCGGCCGGTGGACAAAGACTGCAGCAGGCTGGTCTTTCCGGATCCATCGAGACCCAGAACCAGAACCTGTGTTCCCTTTGACTTCACAGGCTGGGACTGGAACACAGACCACACTGGATCAGAGCCTGATATTCACACCAATATTAAAAAGGATTATTTCCTCTATGATGTCATTGGTTCAGGAAATGTAAATGTAAAAATTGAGTTTTATTTAAAAAAATTATTTAAGTCAAAAAAAGATGTTTAATTATTATCTTAAGAAGAAAACCAGATGTTAGCTGACAGAACTGATATTGCAGGTTAGTAATTAAAAATAAATCTCAGGCTAGAAGTACTGTAGACAGTTTCTCAATCTCAAAGAAACGCCAAAATGTATATAATTCTTTAGAAAAATATTATTTAGGAACAGCTAATATTGATAATATATACCAAACAACTGTCTTAATGTTTCAGATTTTGTTTAGTATTTAAAAATACTGTGAATAGGTCTAATATACGACATAGTGTAGAACTGTGCAGAAATAAGCAGTTTTTCCTGTTTCTCATGTTAAATCTTGGAAGGAAGGTCCTTTTTACTCTTTATTCATAATCATGCCAAATAGTGTCTCTTAACTTGTTCCAGGCCGAGTTATCATAGTTTTGTATTTTCTTGATTAGTTTTTATATTTATTTCACTTTGACTTTTGTTTTTATTTCAGTTTAGTTTCAGTTAATTTCCAGAGTGTGATTGCTCATTTTAGTTTATTTTTATTGTCTGAAAAATGATTAGTTTTAGTTTAGTTTTTGTAAGTTTCAGGGCCAGAGTTTTAGTCTTTTAAAGTATTATTGTATTTGGGGTACATGCCAGATGCAGGATTTAGGAAATTGACTATAGATGTTACAATATAAACACAGAACTTTTTGAAAGCAGTTGATTCCAGTCTTAACCAAAATAACAAAACTTAGCACATTTAATTGGTCTTTTTTTAAAAAAATACTTAGTTTTTCAATTTTTTTTCTTATTATTTTTATATTCGTTAAATACAATTAGACAGATTTTTTTTAAGTTAACTATAATAAGCTTCCGTCCAGTAGGTCGAGCTCAGACATTATTTTAGTTTAGTTAGTAAAATGTAATATGCACTAATAATAATAATAACCTAAAAGAAAAAAAAATCTCTTTTTTGGTTTACACATCCCATATTTTATTTTAGATATTTCAAAATGTCCATTTACTCAGTGAAATTTTTTTTTACTTTTGTATTTATTTAATTATTTTATTTAATAACTTCTCTTGGGATGTAAATAAAAAAAAATGAATTAATATATAAAATGTGCAGATTAATCCAGCCGCTGCCTCACTAAACTGTCCCGAAAACCGCCTTTGAGTTGAATGGAACAGCC